GGTTGCTACATTGTCTCCTATTGATTTCTTCCCTTGGTTGATCTGTGGTTTTCCTAGGTGTTAATTGCTGCCTGCTACTGTGTTACGCATTCAGTCACTGATTCACTCGCTCTTTCAGGGGTCCACCTGATACAGGGAAGCGGCAGTTTGATTCTTGCCCTTGTTAACATTGTTACAATGTATAACTTCTGAAACTAAACACATTTAGTTAAAAGGTGATGAGTATAAAATATAAGCTACAAGAGTAATGCCATGGCACACAAATACATAAAAACACCAAAATACAAGGGGAGATACAAAATATACACATACAAACTTTAAAACATAATTCCTTATCTTATACTGAAAGAAAGAGGAAGGAAGAAAAGGTAGAAGAAGAGAAACATATCCAAAGAGGGGAGAGCAAATGCAGGCAAGAGGAAGAGGGGGCTTTCTGCTACAAACCCACATTTTTTTAGTATGGCTTGCCCTCCCTTTGCTGTACAGCTGCTGCCAAATTGGGCTAAACCTCTAGTTTTAGCTGAGCAACTAATGCTGAAGAGCAGGCACTGCCCTTGCTGCATGTGGAAATCAGCTTAGTTCAGACATGCACATGCAGAAGACAGTCTAGTATTTAATGCCTGTTTACTTCAGTCTTCATGAATAAAGTTAGTTACCAGATGACAAGTGTAACTGGCAGCAAAGATGGGGAAGTAGACAAACAGCTAAGAGTTTGCCTCCCATGACAGTCCCATTAAGGACTAGATAAACATACTCTAAGGTGGATACATAACTAGTTGCATCATTGTGCTCAACAAGCACTCATTAATGATTCAGTGTCTACTAGTTGGGAGGAAGTATCAAAGGGGATACCCCAGTGATTCTGTCCTGGGCCTGATATTGCTTAACATCTTTGTTAATGTTTTGTACAATGGGATTGAGTGCAGATTTAGCAAATATCATGGAGATAATGCCAAATTTAGTGGAGCTTCCAGATACTCCATAGCAGGGGTTCCCAGCATTTGTGTCCAAGGGCACATTCGAATTTAAAAGAAAAAGCAGCGGGCGCCAATATGAATATTAAAGTTTCAAATTTAGATCAATCTGATCATCTCAACCCATTACTTAAAATTGCATTAGATCTGCAACTTCAAAATGCAGCTTCCCTTTACTTGGTATTCTTCTGAAGTTTTATCCATGGCATCTGCGGGCACCGCATTGGGAACCGCTGCTCCAGAGGGTAGGACTAAGATCCAAAATGACCTAGATGGACTGGAGTAATGGTCCTCAATCAATTGGATGAGATTCAACAAGGACAAGTGCAAAGTTGTGCAGTTGAGACGGAATAATTGCATGCTCAAATACAGACCAGGGAAAGATTGTTTAGGGTGTGGTACTACAGAGAAGGGCCTGGGGAGTTTAGTGATCCACAAGAGGAGTATGAGCCAATAGTGTGCTCTTGTTGCAAAAAACCAAAACAAACAAACAAAAAATTAACAAAAATGCATCATATTGGGTTGTATTAAAAGGAGTGTTGCTTTCAAATCAAGAGCAGTGATGCTAGTGCTCCATTCGGCACTGATCAGTATTTTTATCCAGTTTTGAAGAAAGATGTGGACTGCTTGGAAAGAGTCCAGTGGAGAGCAGCAAAAATTATTAGACTCCTGGGAAGTGTGACTTGTTAGGAAAGGCTGAAAGAACTAGAATTATTTAGTCTGGAGAAGAGAAGATTGAGGTGGGAATTTGATAACAGTCTTTATATACCTGACAAGAGTTTATAAAGACATTGGAAATACTTTTCTCTGTGGCTGTAGGGGATAGGACTAGAAGCAGTGATCTTAAACTGCAGTAGGACAATTTTAGGTTGGAAATTAGGAAGAATTTTCTGAGGGTAGCTGAATATTGGAACAGGCTTCCTAGAGAAGTTTTGGAATCACTATCCCTATGAAACTTTCAAGAGCAGGTTAGACCAACATTTGACTGAAATGCTTTGGTCAGGGATGATCCTACTTTGAGGAGAGGGCTGGACCACATGGCCTCATGAACTTCCTTTTACTTCTACTTTCTTTCTTCTACTTTTCTATAGTCTTGTGATCCTACACCAATTTTGGATAGCTTATTTTTGGGAAGAAAGTTGCATGTAGTAAGCAAGTAAATATGGTAGTTCTTGAGTGAAAACTAATGCCAAATTGATGAAGTATTCAGTAAGTTAGTTAACTGGTGGCTGCTCTGGAGTCCAGTTGAATTCCTCTTTTTTCTGGCTTGTTATATATGCCCGTCTGACTTGCCTGTAAATGTTACAGATTCCTGATGTCAGACATTGTGTTTGTAGACCAGTGATTCTCAGTCTTTTTAGATTCAGGACACCCTTCGACAACTTTAAACCTGGCAGTACCCCTGGTTGAGAACCACTGGTGTGCTCCCTCAGCTTGCTTCAGTGGTTCCAAGATGGGGTACTGCCACCAGATAAGTGCTTCACAATCCGTGTGTACAGTCAGACTGGGAAGGGCTGCAGCACAAGCGCGTACTCCTCCTTCATTAGCGTTATCTGATAAAGCCTAAAACGAGCAGGCAAGCCCTTTCTTGCCTACCAGCCCTTTTAGCGCAGCCCTGCATGGTATCTCCCAGAAAAAGTGCACATAAGTTATACCTCAGTTGAGAACTATTGGTGTTGATTTTAAACGGGGGTAGTACCATTTAATAAAATCTTGATTGTAAATCATATTATATCAGCGGCATTATGATATGAATGGGACTTACTTGCATACCACTGATTCCTATCTGTCATTTCACTTGCTTGGTATCAGGTGATGTAAATATACTCAGTTATTTCATTGGCACAGGCCATGTACACAGTAGACTTAGCATGAAGGTGGTAGAAAGGCTGCCTTTTACATTTCCTTTTCCTTGCTCTGTGAAGCTTCCGTATTTTGTTGTAGAAAGGGATATGGACTGTATACATTTAGTTTTATTTTTTAATCTAGATAAAAATGTAGACTGAAAACCACACAAGTATCTTTTAACTGAGACTGCTATTAGAGAAACAATAATATTTAGTATCGATTGCAATTTTCCTACAGAGTCAAAAAAATCCAAATATGAGGATGTTGTGGATCTCCATATCTGTGCAGATTTATCCTGTTTACGGGTTTTTATTAGAGAACAAAAACACAGGATATCTGAAATTCACATTGAAGGTAAGAGTAAAACTTTGAACGTGTACATACAAAACTTCTTAACAGATATAGCAGTTAACCATTTTGTCTGGGTTTTTAAGGTCTGGACAGCCAAGTGGTCATGAGAAAAGCAGCTACTGAAGTGATTGCAAAATTAAAGAACATAAGTATTATGGATTCTGATGAGAAGGCATTGTATAAAAAGGTATGAATTCTCTCTACCCGATTTGAGAGAGTAAGTTTGATTTAATTACTGGACTCCACCATTTAGCTATGCTTTCAATGCTGTTTATCTGCTGAGAATATTTTTGCTGCTAAGAGATATGTGCCTGATTTTTCAAGAACTGTGGTTTGTGCCGAGCTGTCCTTTATTGACCCTAAGGCTCCCAGTGACTTTGAGCTAATTTACGTCAACTGGGATTCTAATCCAATATTTATATTTGTTGCAAGGATTTTAAAATTAAGTACTTGTAAAATTCTCTGTGGTGTAGATTAAAGACTCCTTAGGAATATATGAATTATTACTTATTTTTGTATTTAGATAATTTTGATAGGGAACATAATTTGTTATGCATGTTACAGTTCCTTTTTTCTCTGTTTTAAGGCTGTTTATATCACAGGCGAAGAAGTCTTCAGTTTTAAAATGGTGTCTTATATGGATGCTACAGATGGTGGTGCCTATGTAGATATGAATGTTTTTGACAGCCAGGTTTACTTAACTGTTGGCTGCATTCAAGTTGTTTTTGTCAACAAGTTTGTTTCATCTATATTGGTAAGTCAAATCTGATTTCCTCCCCCGCGTTCTGAGACATGCAGATAGCCATGTCATACCAGAAGTGCAGAAGGCACATGTAAAGATGATATTAATTTACAAACGTTACATAGCAAATGGAAATATGACATTTTATTATATTTCTAGTGGGATAAAAAACTCTGTAGATAAAATGTCAGCTCTTAAAATACTTTGATATTTGGACCGAGTTTTAAAGTCAGCTATTCAGCAGCATCAATACAATTTTTTCCACTTCTTTCTCCAGGCTTTTATAAACAACTTTCAAGCTGCTAAGGAAGCTGTTACTGAAGCAACTGTTCAAGCAGCAGAGAAAGCAGCTACAGGTGTGAAAGAATTGGCACAAAGGTGTTCCCGAATGGCATTGGATGTCAATATTAAAGCACCCGTAGTCATAGTGCCACAGTCAGCTGTGTCGACTAATGTTTTGGTTGCTGATTTTGGTCGTATCACCGTAAGGAACAAGTTCTTCATTGCTAAAACAAAACTACAATGTGCCCTTCCACCTGTTGTTGACTCAATGACAGTGAATTTGAGTGAACTAAAGCTGTACAGGTAACTTAGTAGTAAGTTTTTTAGTTAAAAAAAACCCTTTAATATAATTATTTTGGAATGCCTCAGGTTGGCTGTAAGAAGAAAAATGTTTTTTTTCTGAGGAACAGATTTATAGTTATTATAACACCATGCATGTCTGCCACTGTAAATAAATTATAAAATAAAACATGAGTGAAAATGTAATTACCTTATTGTAAATGACAGCCGCATACACAAAACCTTTTATAGGAGGAAATGTTCAGTTAAGATATCCCTGGTTAACATACTTAAACCTCACTGTGTCATTCACCATCTAGTAACATGTTCTGCAGTAGGGATATCAAAGATCCACCCTGTGCTGGATCCAGCTTGCAGAGCTATATCATCTGGCCTGTAGGCTTCTTGAAGGGGCCAGGAATTCGTCATGGAGCCACATAATTTTGGCATACAGAGCACTTCTAGGGACATTCATTAGTAGGGGAGGGGTAGGCATTTGCTGCAACTAACCCCAGTGGTTACATGATGCTGCTAAACCCACCACAGAAGGTAGGTCCAGATCTAGCCTGCAAGGAGTCATGTGGCCTGGGTTTGGCCGAGGGGACCAAGGGAGTTTGACATCCATGCTTTACATTATTATGTAAAGAGACTGCAAACAGTAGAGTAAGTAAAATTGAAAAATGTTTCAAGCTTGTGTTCTCCAGAACATTTGTGTGAGAGTTTTGAATATAGTTATATTTTATATACAGGTCATCATTTGAGAGAGGTTCACTGCAAACTGAAATACAGCTATTGCAGCCTGTAAATCTTGAAATTGTTGTTGAACGAAATTTAGCTGCTGCTTGGTATACTGAGATTCCTGATATAGCAATATCTGGACGGCTCAAGCCTATGAATGTAAGTGATTGGTACTGAAAATGGCAATGAAATATTTGTGGGAAGCTAATGGCTTCTTGGGTTGTGAAAGCAAAACTTCTCAGTTGGGTTATCATTTTATCGGGAGAGGGAGAAGTCAGAATATTTTCACTGTTCTGGATTGAAAAAAAAAGAGCAGTGGTGAATAATAAGCAGAAGCTTATTTCTGAAGTCCAAAGGCTAACTAAGGGGAAGGCAGGGAAGGTTGCTAGAATGGTGTTAGGGGGCTGGAGACTTTGGCTATGTGGAACTAGCGGAAGAGTTCCTGTGTCAGCTTCACTCCCCCTTCCTGGTGCTGCAGGGAAAGGTGTCTGCTTGGTCAACAGCTACTGGGTTAACGTTCTCATGGGCACTGCTGAACTGTATGTCTTCCTGCCGTGCAGTTAGGTAGTGGCTGTAAGAGGTGCATCTCCTGTTGCTGTTGGGGTGAGTCGGAATGATTTTGGTGAGGGGACACTTCCATCATATGAGAACCATTGCTGGTTTGCAGGGGCTGCTGCTGCTTCTCTGCTTTCTTTTCTTTTCTTCTTTTTTAAGTATTTGGGAGGCTTAGGTTTGAGGGGCATGCTTTTGCCCAGTTCTGTTGTCTAGTGAGCAAACAGTCAGATTTGCCATAGTTTTTATTGGTATTGGGAGGTAGCAGAGTAGTTGAATACTAACAGGGAATGCTAACTAATGTGTTCATACCAAAACCCACTTTTTTTAAAGCTAATTCTCAGTCAAGAAGACACAGCCACTATATTAAGGACACTGAATGAAAATTTATGGGACAATTCTGGTACACCACCTCCTTTGCCAGAATCAAAAGATACAAATAGCAACTATAGTGATGCACTCAGTACTTCTCAGCACTCTGCAGGTAAGTTTGTGAAAGTCCAGCAACAATCCAGTATCCTTATGTGGCATTTTCAGGTTAACTTTTTTGGTAGAATTACATATTGCTAATCTTAAAAAACACCTGCTTTAATTGCATTTAAAACATATATTGTAGCCCTGTTTCTCTGGATATATTCAAAATAGATCAGATGTAAAATTATTTTAAAAAATAGAAGGTCTGCTATGGATTTTTTTAGATGTCTATAGTCCACTCTATTGGCAATTATAGAGGTTACGTAAGACACTTAATAACATGTCAACTATGATTGGTAGGGTTAAAAAAACTCCATTGTATGCACTCCAGTAAATCATGACAGGTTTCTCAATAATGTAGTACGCATGCTACATTACAAAAATCATGCTATAAAAACCTTGCCTTATTTACATTTGGACTCCTCTTGGTTTTGTTATCAGTTTGCCCTCAGTACTTATGATCTTTTCCTATGTCCATATGTGAACACTCTTTATAACAATAAGGCATAGCCACAAAAGCCATTTTTGCCCCCAGTATTCAATTATCTTTAAAACTACCTTGCACATAAAATAGAAGTTCTATTAGTTCCCTGAATTCTTGAAAAAATTGAACAGATGAACATAAAGAAGGTTTTATTATTGTTGCAACAGGAATTATGATTATGTACACATTTTAGAAAATGCATTACGTAGTGTGGAATTTTAAGTTGGATTGCTGTATGTGTTGTTAAGTTAAAATAATAATTTATGCTATACATAAGAATGGATTCAGGGAAGCCAGAGTATTTTGAGACGTTGCACGTGACAAAGTCTCTTTGTAAGTAATTGTCTTTTCTGTTACAAGATTATGTTTTAGTAATATAAATGTCTTTAATTTCTGAAAGGAGTAACTGTGGTGACATCTGCTGTAGTGGAATTGCATTCACCTGTTAAAGCTAAAACAACTCTAAAATTGGACTTCCAATTTGATTGTCTGACTTTGGTACTGTATAGTCCAAACTCTAAACAGGTAAACAAACCTTTATAAAACCAGAAATGATATAATTGTATAGGTTATAAACAGATATACAAAAATGCTTTCATTTTATTTTAATTTAAATTTTGTTTCCTTTTCCTTGCATAGGTTTCAGTTTTGAATCAAAGAGATGATAATTTAAAACTCGCAGAGTTTAAATTGGTCTTGATTTCAGCTGCTGTCAAAATGCTATCTGATGGTTCAATGAATGCTTTAGTCAAATTAGCAAACTGCACATTAGATGATAAACGTCTGACAGTCCAGAAGGCAACTCCAAGGTGTGTGTGTCTGTATAAAAGATGAAACTGTTGCTTGTCGTACTAAGCAGCACCATAAGTAACCCTACTGTATAAATTGCTATTGATCTTAAATGTTTTGGAAGTTTAGCTTAAAAATAATTAGGTTACTTTTTTATGCACATTACTATTTATTATAGATATTGTTTGGGGCCTAACAATTTAAGTAAAATAAAATCGGAGCATATAGAAACCGGTTCCAGGGTTTCGTTTTATAAATAAAAGAGCTAGATGGACAAATGCTATTCTTTTTATTTGACAGTAGGATCCATTTAATTTTTTCACATGCATCAATAAAATAGCATGTGTTTACATTTTAAAATGAGGCTTCCAGACTGCATTTAGTAACTCATCTGTAGGTTTCATCATGCTTTTATGGTGCCTGCATTATTATATTACTTTAGGTTCTACAAGGTTCATTCAGAACGTTTGAATGCCTCTTTTTTTTTTCCCCTCAGCCAGATATTCAAAAAATACTAACCCTGCACAGAAAATATGTACACCATCACTGAAAACATGGCTATTTTCCAGTAATCTCTTCCCCAATCAGTGACCTTTTTTCCATTAGTGAACAAGTGCATGTACAGTATCATGGTACAAGTCGGTCAGAAAAGAAATGTTTGAAAAATAGCTGTGTTCAGTTATTGTCATTTTACAATTAGAAAATAGAATTTGTGCATCTGTTTATCCTAAAGAGTGGAAGAAAGCTGTTCTATAATTTTTGTCTTCCTTTGGATTTGTGCAATACCATTGCTTCTAGCTATTCCTTGTTACAGCACTTGTGTTATCTACTATTACTAAGTTTTCTTTGTCTAAAAATAACAAAAACAAAAAAATTGGAAATTGATAATTCTGCTAATGTGATAGAAAGGCTAGAATATGGAACATCATCTTAACTTGTTGCCTTTTCATTGCTAGGAGGAAGACAACATTTGTAATTTACACAAGCAGAGTTGATAAGAAGATAGAATTTAAAAACAGTCATGTTTAGAGTTGCTCTCTATTTTGCATGTTAATATAACCACAGCTTTTTTATAAAAAAAAAAGAAACCAAGACCTATTTTAGACTAAATAAGAACTTTGAAAGTGTTAATATGTTAACATGAAGGGGCTGCTTTTTAAGGTATCGTGTATGCTCTAACTCTTTTTCAGAATGGTGGAAATGAAACATGGATCTGAAAAGAAAGACATGGTGGATATAAACTACAAGCAGGGGAGAGATGGCACTGTTCTCAATACCATTGTTCAAGAGATATACCTCTGTGCAAGTATGGAATTTCTACTTACTGTTGCAGATGTATTCCTAAAGGCTAATGAGGAAAGTGCTGCAGCTCAGAAAACTGTCAAACAATCTTTAGCTGTAAAGGAATCTGTAGCTGTAAAGGAACAAGGTTAGTATCTGATTGAGCTTTTAATGTATCAAGAGTCAGGAGAGAAGCATCATTCATTCCTACTGCTCCCATGCTGGTTCTTTTGTGTAGAGCCATCTTTCTTTTCCATTTGGTCAAACAATCTTGCTTCTCTTCACTTCCATCCTAGCAACTTTATTTCTTTGAGTTAGCACTCCACTGCTAAATATTTTCAGACTACCATAATGTACATTTGAAGGGCCATTTCCTCCCATTACCCTTTTTCTTTGGTCTGACTTTCAGTAAAGTATGAGATGTTTTGGAGAGAGGGTGTTCTGTTTGTTAAATGATGCTTCATTCTTTAGATATATAAAGATAATAATACACGCTATTTCCTTATATTGATGAGATCTTTTAATATGCTTTCTTTTCTTTGTTAAAATAAAATCTATTACTACAGAATCTTCCAGCAACAATTTATTTTTTGGCTTCTGCAGTAGGAAAAGATACTTTTTTTCAAAAGAAAATATTAACATTAAATTAAATATTATACGTCAACTTTTAAGATAATAATTGTTCATGATATTTCCTGAAATTTTACAAATAAGCTACATTTTATTTTAAAGAAACTGAGAAAAGGGAAGATAATTGATGTTAAGTCTCCATGACTTCCTTATTTGGAAGACAGAAAATGTTGACATTTGAGAACTTTCAAACTTTCTCTTCTACCTTTCCATATTATGTCTGCAGGGATGATGGTGGTTTCATATGGATTGACATATGAACTGCCTACTCTAAATTGAAATACATAATGGCTGGTAAAAGAATGCACACTAGGACTGGGATATTCAGAGAACCTAAGGGAGTGGGGAACCCAAAAAACCTTGACATTTACATGAAGTTGGCTGACCAACCTCCATCCTAAATGCAGTATCAAAGGCATACTTAACGCAGCTGAAATCATAGTAGTAGTCAGCAGTGCCATACACCATCTTTTTAGCCTTAACACTTGTCCAGTTGAGAGCCTAACAGTAACTTCTGATATATGGACTGGGAGCTAGATTTTTTTTTGGCTGGGCTCAGTAGTGGAAATCACTTATGGGAAGTCTTCCTATAGCTTGTGCCAGGGATTGGCAACCTTTTATTTAACCGCACGCCACCCCTTGCAACTTGGAGGTGCTACCGGCTGCCCAATTGCTGCTGCACCCCAGTTCTTCCTCTGTGCAGAGGGGCTAATGCCTTTCCCTTCTCCCCTCCCTCACTCCCAAATGTAGCCTCTTCTGAAAGATGTTACAAAGGACAATTTAGAGTCATTAATTGGGTGAGTAGAGGTTGCAGTATTGAGGGAAGAGAGCTGCAACTTATGGAGATCTCCCATAGGAGCCAGCAGCAAGAGGGTTAGCTGGCCCTTGGTAAAATAAGAAATATGGAATTGTGCAAATAACTGAGCATTGGCGTGCCTTTTGTAAAATGTGGACCAGATCCAATCTCTGAGGGATAAAGCAGGCTGTAGGTGGCTGACCCCTGGTCTAGGCTATGCATGGGATCATACAAGGGCCATGTACAGACAAATTTTATTTCTACTGGGAGAGTTGCTGCTGTCCCAGTAGATACTACAAGCATATAAGTGTTCATTCAGTTTCTCCCAGAGGAAATATACCTGTTCTTGGAGAAAGATCTTCCAAGTGTGAACCTGAAAGATCTCCCTTGTGAGAGAGTACTTTTGCAACAATAAACAGTTGTATGTTCCCTTTCTTGTCTGGCCTGGGAGAGGATGGGAGCATCAGTGCAAATCTGGGGGTCCCCAGTTTGGGGAGCAGGTGGAGCTCCCCAGGTGGCCACTCTAGTCCCCTCCTGGACTGGTCTGAGAGGGGAGTTTGAGCCACCTGTTCCTTGCCCCTCCCTGCTCCCCTTATTGGGGACCTTGGTTAAGGGACCAAGCAGCAGGTTTGCCTGCTGCTCCCTCATTCTGCTCCTGTAGTGCTCCTTGCCCCCTGCCTACTCCCCAAACTAGGGCCCTCTGTCTGAAAAATGAACAGGAGTTGTGCTCAAGTCCCCTGTCATATGGGCTTGGGAGAGGACTGGAGCAGCCGCTGAAGCTCCCTGTCTTCTCCCTAGACTTGTGATTTCTGATCTGGGAAATGGGTGGGTGGTTATGCCTTGCTGCTTCTGGTCCCCCTGTGCATACTGGTGTGTATGGGGGGGGGGGGGGGGGGGGGG